AGGAATGTGATACTCAGTGTTTTTCCGAAGTGCAGCTTAAAAACCACAAATGTAAGGCGATACAGCGATGGATTTCGTCTGGTTTGAAACTTACTGGATAATATCGGGAATTCACAGCCAAAAACAGGCACAAATGCAAGCTGTTTTCATCAACCGCAAAATAGTAGGGGTGGATTGCGCTGAACTGGAGGAACTTCTGCAGAAATAAAACTCCGAATTCCTGAATTTGTTTGGAGCACCTTAAAATTTCAGCCTATCAGCTTTCCTGGTTCCGGATTTAGTCATTTTTTCACCAAAAAGTTTTACAGGGCCATACATGAGAACTACGCGTGCTCGGGGCTGAGTTGATAAATTCAAGTTATACATGAGTCGGGAACATCCCTTGGAAATTTCAGCCTCCCAGCTTCCTTGGTTTCCCAACTAGTCATTTCCCGTTAAAAATTATCATGGGGCCGTTCGTGAGAACCACGCATGCCGGGGGTTGAGTTTGATAAATTTAAGTTGTACATGGGCTGGGAATATTTCCTTAAAATTTCAGCCTCGCAGTTGTCCTGGATACCAGGTTAGCGATTCCTGACGAGGCCGTACGCGAGAACTGCGCACACCTCGCCGTTGAATTTGAAATCTTTGAGTTCTACATAAACGGGGAACAAAACCTCAAAATTTTAGCTTTCTGGCTTTTTTGGTTCTCGAATTAGCGATTTCCCGCCAAAACTTTCACGCGCTCGTATGTGGGGCCTAGACTGCGTGAGGGTTGGTACCGCGGTCCTGGGGTGGCACTTGGTCGGGGAACCCACTCGCAAAATTTTGGTGCCGGAGTTCGCTTGAGTGCCGAGTTGAAATATCCGGACAGACAGACAGATACACACACACCAGGATCGTTACAATATAAGTTTTTGCATTTGCATATATGCAGAAGCGCATAAAAATCAATATTTCAGATCTGTTAGCTTGCTGAAACATGTATTAGTACACCACATTTTTGGAAAACTTGAGCGTACTGTGCACGTTCATATACGTTCTACAAATGTGCAAAAGCACCACAGTGTGAGAATCTGAGCACCAAGCTATTATTTTATCGAAAAAACTATGACATATTTATTGTTAATTATTTATTCACTATTCCTTATAGTGTAATGAATAAATGTGTGAAAATGTAGTTTTTACACGAAATTAACAGTATTTCATGTTGTTTTGAGAACCAAAGATCGTCCGAGCATTAAGTGCTAGTATCTGACGTTGAAGACTAATTTTTGCCAATTCATTTCCAAACCTGTTTATGTGTCACAAGTCCCAAATCCATTTTTAGATTGTCGATTGTCTAGCTACTAACCTTAGAAACGAATCCAGAATTCTCATGGCTCAGCAACCAATAAAAGAGCAAGCTGAACATTTTGGTAGTCCACTTTGCCAGACTGAATGGGGTGAACAGTCTGAAATTAGGCTCTATACTTTACTGCACGAATAGTTCTCATCTACTGGCCGATCGACAAAGCTTGGAGAAAAATGCTTGTAAAAAAAGAAAACAGAAAATTATTTCAAGAAACAGACCCTATTCATCAAGG